CGCCATTTACACGGTCTTTGTATTCAGAGTTTTACAATAGTGAAATAAAACTACAGCTGATAAACAAAGTATTGATGACATAACTGAGAGGTGAATCAGACCTTGCTCAAACTAACAATCTAGATTCTTAATTATTTCAGCAAGATTGTTATTAGTTCAAAATGTCTTATTGACTTATGTGTTCCTGCAGTAAATAAGTATGTGCAAGCACCACCGATCAACAACCAGCATAAGCGGTATGCAACAAGGTTATTTTAATGAATCACTAATATCATAGATAGATAGACAGAGAGATAGATAGATAGATAGATAGATATAGAGATAGATAGACAGATAGATAGATTGATAGATAGATAGATAGATAGACAGACAGACAGATAGATAGATTGATGATAGATAGATAGATGATAGATATATAGATAGATAGATAGACAGAGAGATAAAAAGGGAACAATAACCCCAACACCAAAAAACTCTTGTTCTTGTTTATGATATTAATATAATTTATGCATATATTTTTCATTTGTTAATGTAGAAAGAAAAAATCTTCAAATAGAAATAAGTAGATAATTCAGCATGTTTGTATGTACAGTGTCATTTTTATTGGTCTACATTTTCTGCAGATAGACTGCATGGTGGCGCGTTATTTATTTAGTAGCATTCCCATCTGTCATGCTACAGATGACCAAATAAGCTAAAGTGGCCCTGTCATTGACTAAGGGTTTTTTTATGCCCTCTCCCCACCCCCCTCCAGACTCTGTGGCTTCAATGTCCCCAATGTCTTGTTTTGTGGCACATGGCCAACCATTTTTATAGTTTAAATTTTGCTGGATCTTCTTTCCATCCACTGCCATATTCTTTAGCCTGGCAGTGACCTCTTGTCTCTGCCTTCTCTTGGCCTTCCACCGGCCTGCGTTTTCAATTTCATGCATGGTCATGCTCGCTGTTGGTCACTGAAGCCAAATTTGAGCATGCTGGGAAATTGTTCCTTATTTATTTGAAGAAAAATACAGAACAAATCTCAAATTTAAGCAAATTGCAGAGCATAACAAACGAAGATCCAAATCTTAAAGCAGGTAAGCTTAAGCAAATTACATGCCAAGGGGTCTGTAATGAATCTAAGAATCTCAGAGTTTAATAGAACAATGACATCTCACTGAGCAATCCAGCTGCTTATAAAAGTTAAGTTATAAAACAGTACATGGAATCAGGAATGGGCTTTATGTCTTTTAAATCTAATATAAATATATTTATAATATAAAAGAAATTCTCACATTTCATATTAATCCATGGAGACGTCTGATAACCATCAATGAGTCAACAAAGTATTGTCTTCTTGTTTTCTTTAAGCAGAACTTGTGGGCTTGCATTTCACGTTTATTGTTGTTTCTTAGTGACTATGATACTATGTTGCCATGTGATCTCACCAGTGCATTACCCAGGTATACAATTGAGCAAAGCCTGAAGAACATTGAATCAGTAAAAATACCCAAATCACAGATGTTTGTGAGTAGTAGTTGCTTTTATGTTCCAATCCACATTTATTGTATAGCATTATAACAAAATTCTTGTCTTTTTTTTAGTTCCACTCTATTCATATCTGCCAATACTTATTTGTAGAAAAGACTGGTAGATAATCTAATTGATACACAAGCGGTTATTTTCTATATTAATAATCCTTTAGGATTGCACTAATGTATTCACTGATCTTGTTTTTACTTGGATTTTCCCTCTCATGATATTTTAAACTTAAAGGGACGATATGGTCACGAAAATAACTTTAGCTTAATGAAGCAGTTTTGGTGTATAGATCTTGCCTCTTAAGTCTCACCACTCTATTTTCTGCCAATTAGGAGGTAAATCACTTGTTTCTGTTTATGCAGCCATAGCCTCACCTCCCCTGGCTGTGACTGACACAGCCTGTATGAAAACAAAATGGTTTAATTTTCAATCAGATGTAACATACTTTAAAAATGTGTATCTCCTGTAAAATTCACTTTAATTACATACTGAAGGCTCCTGCAGGGTCTTGCAAGCTATTAACAGAGCAGGAGATAAGACATTTTAAATTAAGCAGAATTTGCAATAAAGGAAGTTTAAACATTAGATCTCTCTTTATAGGAAGTGTTTAGGAAGGCTGTGTATATTACATGCAGAGGGGCGTGACTAGGGCTGCATAAACCATGTAATTTATTCCCTAGATGGCAGAGAATTAAGAAGTAAGAGTGTAGGGGCATGATCTACACATCAAAACTGCTTCATTAAGCTAAAGTTGTTTTAGTGTCACATTAAGGCCAAAGTAGTTGTATTGGAAGAATAGATGACTTGGAGAATTTTGCCAATTCAGCTACCTTGGTCTTAAATTTTAAATGCACTTTGCATTCCCAACAATTCTCACTTATAACCCTGTAAGTAGTCAATGTACCGTATTTATCGGCATATAACACGCACCGGCGTATAACACGCACCTCATTTTAAGAAGGAAATTTCAGGAAAAAAAACTTAAATTTCAAATAAAGAACTTCTTAAGAACTTCTTACCCCCTTCTTACTCCCCCCTCCCCCTTTCTTACTTCCCCTCTTACCCCCTTCTTACTCCCCCCTCCCCTCTTCTTACCCCCTCTTCTTACCCCCCTTTCTTACTCCCTCCCCCCTTCTTACTCCTCCCTCCTCTTCTTACCCCCTCCCCCTCTTCTTACTCCCCCCCTTCTTCCTCCCCCCACTCTCTTTTACACCCCCCACTCTCTTTTTACCCCCCACTCTCTTTTTATCCCCCCCACTCTCTTTTTACCCCCTCCCCTGTAGCGTGGCCGAGCTGCTCTGCTGTCCGCGGTGCCCAGCCGGAGTGATAGGAAGGTGCACGCTCAGTGTGCACCTTCCTGTCAGTCCGACCAGGTACAGGAAACAGAAACTCCTGTTCCGCGCGTAACAGGAGTTTCTGTTTCCTGTACCCGGTCGGACTGACAGGAAGGAGCACACTGAGCGTGCACCTTCCTATCACTCCGGCCGGGCACCGCGGACAGCAGAGCAGCTCGGCCACGCTACAGGGGAGGGGAGGTGAGAACCAACTGCAGCCGCCTGACCGCTCTTGACAGTGCGCTCAGGCGGCTGCAGCATTTAAAGGTCCGGCGTATAACACGCACCCATAATTTGCCCCCTATTTTCAGGGAGAAAAAGTGCGTGTTATATGCCGATAAATACGGTATTTAAAGTTGAAAGTGTATTAAAGTTATATTTTCCACGATATCATTTACTTTAACCTATGTTTTGGCAATTAATGAAAAATAATAATGATAATAATATGCTATTTTATAAAACCATAGAATGATAATGGTAAAGATTAATAAAGATAACATTATACAGATATAAAAATGAATGTAATCACTTTACAAATATAATCATACGCTAATTTTATATGTGATCGCAGCAAAATGATGGTAAATATTTATAAAATAAGAGCAAAGCTAAAAACCTCTAGACCTGTTTATATAATTTGCATTTGGAATTTATCATCTAAAGAAACCCACAGTGTAAGATTTTGCTAGTAGCTTAACTCATTGAGTGTTCCAGGAAAGATTAGATTGACAGTCATGTTCAATGTTGGCTTAGTTCATATCACAGTCTGGGGCCCAGCTGTTGAAAATGATGGTGCTGGTATTCATAGGATGTTAATGTGTGAAACTGTATTTCTCTGGAGAGCCATACATATGTCAAGTATATGGTCCCATTAAAGCAATTCATTTATCAGCATATTGAATGCCAATTAAATTGCACAGGATGGTGCAGGGCAGGTATATGGTGGGTTGATAGCTCCAACTTCTATTACAGCTGTGCTTTGCTGCATCATTACATTCGACACAAAAAAGTAAGACATGTCAAAGTCAAATAAATTGCATTTGATTTAAACAGCATGAACTAAAACAAATACTAAACTACAAGCGAACATGTGCAAGGTAATACGGATAAATAGTTTGTCTGATTTATTGTATTAGCGGGTCTTTTTTGGAAATTCTTTAGTGCATATATATTTTGCAGTGTTTTATAACATTAATGGAGGGTATCATATTAAATAAGAGACAAAATAAAACAAATGTTAACATGAGTTTATAGAAGTCCTGACTTTAGTTCCAGATTAAGTCATATGCCTTGACATGTAATTTAATTAGAAAAAATTACTTGCTTTACAGATTACACTTATGTATGGTTTAAATCTGTGGTTCCCAAACCTTTTAGGTTCAAGGCGCCTTTAATATTTCAGTATTTTTCCAAGGCACCCCAAGTCAAAATTTCTAGGTTGTACATCTGTACAGCGCTTTGGCATTTACTGGCGCTATTGTGTAATGTACAGTGTTGGTGTTTGAAGGGGTGGTAGTATATAGTTATTGTTGTTTTAATACAGGGGTATGTTTGTATGTAATGTTTGCGTTTGATTGCAGGGGTGTGTCCAGTGGCGTACATACCAGGGTCGCAGGGGTCGCGGCTGCGACCCGGTATGTAGCCACAGGGCCAGCCTCTTCTCCTGGGGGGCCCAGGAGGTGGCCACCTCAGGCCCCCCCGAGGCTGGCCCTGCTGACCCCAGCAGGCAGGTGGCCGGTCGGGCAGGCGGGCGCGCGAGGGAGCACTCAGTGCTTCCTCTTCAGCTCCCTCGCGCACAGCACTGATGCCGGAGCTGGAAGATGACGTCATCTTACGGCGCCGGCATCCCTACGCAGTGCGCGAGGGAGCTGAAGAGGAAGCACACGGGTGAAAGTGCTCCCTCGCGCGCCGGCCGCACAGACAGCCCGCCCACCCATCCAGTGACCGGCCGCCCAGGAGCCCAGCAGCACCACTACCACTGGACCCCAGGGAACCCCAGCACTCCAAAAGGTAAGGAGGCTGGGGGGATTAAATTTAAAAAAAAAATGTGTGTGTGTGTGTTAGTGTGTGTGTTAGTGTGTGTGTGTGTTAGTGTGTGTGTTAGTGTGTGTTAGTGTATGTGTGTGTGTGTTAGTGTATGTGTGTGTGTGTGTGTGTTAGTGTGTGTGTGTGTGTTAGTGTGTGTTAGTGTGTCAGTGTTTGTTTGTGTTAGTGCGTGTGTTAGTGTGTGTGTCAGTGAATGTGTCTGTTATTGGGTGTGTGTCTGCTAGTGAGTGTGTTACTGTGTGTGTCTGTTACTGAGTGTGTTTGATGTCTGTTAGTGAGTGTGTGTTTGTCAGTGAAAGTGTATGTTTTGTAAGTGAGTGTGTATGTATGTCTGTCGCTGAGTGTGTCTCTGTCAGTAAATGTGTGTGTCTGTTAGCTAGTGTGTATGCATCTGTTCGTGAGAGTGTGTGTGTGTGTCTTCAGCATTTACCTTTCTCCAGCGTCGGACTCCCCAGTGTCCGCCACTCAGCTCCGAAATGCACATGCGCGGCAAGAGGCGCGCGCGCATTTAAACCGCCCATAGGAAAGCATTACTCAATGCTTTCCTATGGACGTTCAGTGTCTTCTCACTGTGATTTTCACAGTGAGAATCGCGGAAGCTCCTCTAGCAGCTGTCAATGAGACAGCCACCAGAGGCTGGATTAACCCTCAGTGAAACATAGCCGTTTCTCTGAAACGGCTATGTTTTCAGCTGCAGGGTTAAAACTAGAGGGACCTGGCACCCAGACCACTTCATTGAGCTGATGTGATCTGGGTGTCTGTAGTGGTCCTTTAAGTGTATGTGCATACCGCGGTCGCGGGGTCGCAGCCCTGCAACCCCTGCGACCAGGTGCCCGCCACCATGTGTTGCGACCCAGTAAGCGTGGGGGGGGGGGGCCCACGGATCAATTTTTGCACCAGGGCCCCATGGGTCATGTGTACACCACTGGGTGTGTCTGAATGTAATGTTCACTTTTAAATGCAGATATACATTTGTGTGAAGTATTTGTGTTTGAGTGAAGGGGTGTGTTTGTACTTTTTTTTTTGTTTGAATGCAGAGGTGTGTTTGTATGTGATATTTGTGTTAGATTGCAGGAGTGTGCTTGTATGTTGTGCTGGTGTTTGACTGCTTCAATGTAAGCACACACACTACCACATACATACATACTTACACAGATATTCATGCACATTAATACACAGATGCATATAAATACACCAACACAAACACACAAATTCATATAGACACTGACACATACACACATATAGATACACACATAGATACACATCGACATATACACACATGCACCCTGACACACACAAACATTGATACATGCCCACACCATAACACAGATACACACACTGACATAAAAACACACACCCCGACACACACATGCACATACACAGATGTGTGGGCAGACAAAGAAGCACACCGACTGTATATATATATATATATATATATATACACACAGATGCACACCCTGACACACACACACTCATACTCACTCACACACATACACACACACTTATACAAATACACACACTTATACACACACTCATACATACAAACAATCATACTCACACACACACTCACACACATACACACACACACATACAAGTGATTTTTTTAAAATATCTCCAGCCCCCCTTCTGTTCCCTCCAGCTTACCTTATGTACCACGAGGGTGGCTTGGAGTCCTGCTGCTGGGTGAGAGGGCTGGAGCTCTTTGTCCTCCTCTCCCCTCACGCTGTGGCTGCCTCCTCCTGTGCTGTCACTTCCTCCCAGTCGGCAGACACTACAGGGGCTGGTTGTGGTTTTAAATGACCGCAGCAGCCAACCAGGCCCCTGTTCAGTAGTAATGCTTATAGCACCGGGGGAATATTCCGTGGCACCCCTCTGTGCATGTTGCGGCGCCACAGAGCACCATGGCACACAGTTTGGGAACCGCTGGTTTTAATATTTTATATAGTGTATAGTTATATAAGCATAATCTTTTTTTTTTTTGGTATAGTGCTTTTCTTCTGCGCCATTTTTTTAACCAAATAAATAAAGAGAAATACACTAAAAACATCTAGTTTATTAACTAATGGTGATTTTATTGCAAAGTCATATATTTGCAACTCATTCATGCTGTACTGCCAGTTAAAGCCAGGTATGCTTACAAAATGGTCATCTTGAAATAAACATGTAAGCTTATTGAGCAGGGCCCTTAACCCCTCTGTTTCTGTGCGTCCAACTTGTCTGGTTACAATTACGTGTCTGTTGGTCCAGCGTACAGCGCCACAGAATTTGCTGGTGATATATAAATAATAAAATAATAATAAGAAAATAATAAACATATAGAGAGCGGATGAGTTGTTCAAGTAAGCCTTTCAGTTTGTGTGTTCCTGAAATTCTATCTTGTCCATCCTTTCAATGAGTTAGTTTGCCGGCAGCATCAAACCACAAAAAAGGTGCGCGGTTAAACCTAAAAAATAAATAAAGAGGTTTGGGGGTCTCAAAATTCCACTAAATCAGGAGGCATATATTTGGCTGCCTCACAATTCTCTATATCATCATCTCACTGTGGGACTAAATATTTTATGGAGGACACCCAGTGTTCAAATTATTGGAAGTTACCCCTATATCTCTATAATTGCCATGCAATAAGGCAGACATTAATATAAGTGAGACACCAGCTCCATAGACCCCATTCTGTTTCCATTATCCAATGGGTTGTGGGTTGAGGTTTTTTAAGGGTAATTTTCACAACCTTGTATTTTTAATATTAATGTTTGTATCCACTAAATTGAACAAATGTGTATTTGTGAGTTGTGAAAATTAAAATTAGACTTAAAAAATCCACATCTCTCAACAGTGCAACTGGGCGCCTCCATCTTGGCTCCCTGTCCGTCACTGTTACAAGCTCTGTACATTGCACACGGCAGTCAGCATAGCGAAAGAATACAGAAAACAGAGAAATGAAACAACATTTTTATTTATTTTCCTCATTTGCAGTGTGTTAGACTGTGCCTCGATTGAACTGGATTGTGATAGAATTTGATAAATCTTCAATACAAATTTAAAAACAAAGAATCACATTAAAAAAGGCTAACATGCGTTCTAGGTTATATTCACTGTTTAGTCAGACTCAGTAGCATAGTTCTCAGAGATACAATTTTTCCTCTTTAATATAACCAGAAGGGACCAGCGCTGTGGTTACCTATATAATTATGGACCAATATTCTCCAAACCTCTGGTCCATTAAAGTGTCATCATTCACCCTTTATTCTACCTACCTCAAAACAAAATGCACCTGTCATGGTTGATTATATATTTCCTACCTGTTCCATGTTTAATTTTGTATTTATTGTGTATTAATATTGTTTTTGTATTTTATTGTTCCCTACTGTAACAATGCAATGATTTGTGGACCCAGGACATACTTGAAAATGAGAGAAATCTCAGTGTATCTTTCCTGGTAAAATATTTTATAAATAAATAAAATATTTTATAAATAAATTCTGAGGCAGGAGAATGGCTTTCTATGGCTTTAATATTTATCACTATGCAAAGACAATGTCAGCTCATTTGGCTTTGATGCCCCATTTATAACCAGCTTTAAGATTCAATGCATTAATTAAGATATCAATTGAACCAATGTCCAGACATTGTGCCACCATTTTGGGACTACCTGGCTTATTCCTAATGATTATTTCAATGTGGTATGTTTCCATAAAAAGTCAAGGTAATTTTGAAATCCTTAACATGACTAATGCTGCCTGTGGTTATAAGAATCCAAATTCTGTGTATGAATACTTTTTGTTAAGACAATAAAGTTGAGAATTTGAAGGACATGTGTCCCATCAAAACTATGTTTCAGTATAATAATTGTTTCATCAAGCTTTGAAATTAAATAGATTTTTTAAGGGATGAGTTTTCTATATTTTTTTTACTTATACTCCATTTAAATTTTGTTTTATTTCCTTTCAAAATAAGTATCCATAATCCTTATTATACTTTTTGGTCACAGCATAAAACATAGTGGTGTTTTTATTCACATAGGACATTAAACTGTTCTCGTAGAACACCAAAAACGTAGGATACTCCATTCTGAAGCAAAAAGTAAAGGTTTAGGATCCCAATGAAAAGGTTCTCTTTCCTCCATATTGCTGGAAAAAGGCATGGAGATATAGGACTAGTTCTTACCAATATGGGCAGCAAAACGTTTCTTTTTGTTAAAGTAGCTAAAAGCCCTGATCAAGACCCAATGGAAAATGAAACCAAGATGAATAGAAGAACCAACTTTGGGTGGGTGACGGACATTACAAAATAGAAGGGAGGCCAGAGAATTTGACCTCTGCTGGACGACCCTTGCTGCCAATAACAGCAAGCTGGAATCCTGAGAAGGGGGCTTCATTAGTACCACTAGTAATTTATATATTAGAATCTAACAATACTGCACTATAGGCACTTTATGCAACATATGTTCTCAACTATTTCCTGAATCAAGACTTACTCACACTATTTTTAATTTTTATAATTTATCTTTCAATGATGGATTTAAATTTTTTTTTTTAAATGTTTTGCATCAACCATTTTACATAATATGTGAGGTTCTAAGTGAGATAGTGTGGCAAATTGTAAGTAAAGGTACATCTGTTTTCCAAAGTGATGCTATTAAGAATCAATTAAGACTAGTGATATGTGAAAGATGTCCAACTTATAGTCCTCCTTGTAATGTAAGTGTATTTTGCTCCGTCTTCATAATCACCCTGTTTGATTGAATGAAATTAACCACAATATTATGACATTACAGTGTTCTAAACAACTGAGTGAGCTTTCAACTGCAGAATGTGATTTGTTACAAAACTATTCAATCTATTGTGCAATTCCATGGCAACACTGGGCCGTGTGTTATATAAAATAGGTCTGTTTTACATTAACTACTCACAATGCAACTTCCATTGCCTAACGCTAAAACACCCAAATATGAATATGGTTTGCTGAATCATTGACATTGTTTATGATCCTATTTTGAAATATTGATAGGCAAGATCAGACATATTATTTTTTTATCTAAAATTAAATGAATGTGCAATCATTATCAAAAATATGACAATTATTATCTGAAATATGGCAATCATTATCAGAAAGTGGGCCTAAATGGTAAATATGGACGGTGTAACCAAGAATGGGGTGGAGTTCACAACAAAGGGGGTGATACTTGACGCGAAGAGTTCATAACTACTCTAAAACAGTTTATCCTCATGCCTGGTGATGAGATGTTAGCACTGAAGCCTCCAGATGTAACCCCAAAAATTTCAAAGAATAGAAGATTGTTATTCCAAAGAACAATGACATTTTATGTTCACAACACAATTGTTCACAATATTTGGCTGGCCTATGAAAGGCTAACAGAGAAAGTCAATTATATGTAGTTGT